GATCGGCGAGTCGCGAGGAGGATACGGCTCTAGCCGGACAAGATGTCTCGAATGTCGCGGCGAGAAATTCAACGAGGTACGCCAAAATTCTCTAGGGGCACACGGGTCAGCGAGAAGTCAAGGCCACGCGGTCAATTGCCCCGCGATCCGTCGCCGTTATAAATAGATACGAGCGGCCGGTATCTACACATCTATTTGCACGCGTGCTGTTAAAATCCGAATCGGAGTTATACCGACTGGACTCTACCCCGTTCCGGCTTTTTCCCCGAGCCGCGAACGAAATCCCTCCATTGACGAGCCGGCGCGTCTAACGAACGGCATCGATCGTTCAATCCCTTGACTCCTGGCTATTGATATCCCCTAACGTGTCTCCCGTTTTGTCCTTTCTCGCTCTCGCTCTTTATCTCTCTTTCTCTTTCTTTCTATCTTCCTCTCTCTGTCCACCACGCTCCGCTAATTAACACGCGCGGTAAACAGCCTCGCGTGTACACGCGACAGTCGTGATTCCGCGTTCGCGTAAAACGAAACCGAACGAGCTGCCCGTTATTATTCCGTGTGTTTGCCACGGTGATCACCGATGACTACAGCCTTAACCCTTTGCACTCCGAAGTTTTTCGCTAGAAATGTTACATTTTCTGATGAGGTGAAGACGACTTTGTAAAACCAACTCGAGGAGAAATTCACGCGAATTGATGGACGAAGCTATTTTACGTCAATATTTCTCAGATTGATGCGTTGTATGAAGTATAATATTAAGTATCAAACTTTATAGCTTCACTGTAGGAAGTCAAATGACTGAGAGTCACCTACCGAGTGCAAGGGGTTAACACTGGAACTACCGAGCGTTTGATACGATTAATATGCAATTCTTATGAAAATTGTAACGATAGATTATTTTCAGTTTCTTCAGACATTCGTTATAGTACTTCAGTGGAACTATTTATTTTCAAAATCATTTCGAATATTCATTTTGACTGGTACGTAGTTCTAGTGTTAACCCTTTGCACTCGGAAGTTTCTCGAGACATTGTTTGAAACTAATTTAATGATAATTCACAGATAAATTAAGCAAAGCTATTTTATTTAAATATTTCACATTGCAAAATATAATTTTAATTTAAAGCACTGAATATTCAACTCCATAGTTAAGGGTTAACATTGATACCGAAGAATTACAGGAATGACTAATCTTAACACGTTGTGCCATGGGGGTCACCGGTGACCCCCAATCAAGTCGACTTTAGTTCGCTCAATTAAACGATGATTATTCTAATATTTGATTCTTTCCATCTTGTGTAGTTTTGGCATCAAATCGTACGGCATTCAACGTGTTAACAGTTCGCCCATGGGACAGCCAGCAACCCCTTCTGGAATTTCGACATTTTGACGAGATGGAGTGTTCATGGAACACTAAGCAAACGAATGAATTACTTGAACAGCAATTTGAATGTTTTCTCTGAAATAAGACCTGTTTTTAACCCTTTGCTCCGAAGTGCTCTTGGTTTCTTTGAGGTTCACGTCGACGTTGGTTCGTTCAATTACAGCTTAATATGATACAAATAAATATAGAAGAAATTATTAAAACAGGTAGAAGTTGCAATAAAATATGTCGAGTCTGACTCGACATAGGACTGCTAAGGGTTAAACTATGTCACACTGTAGAGATATTACCAAGTTCTCTCGACAACAATGGATATTCTGCGTTTCGATTCGAACGTTATAGAAACCGAACGGAATTTATTCGCGGAAATTCATTTTTCGAATGAAAATCATTTCGCATAGCAGAGACTACTTAGCGACACGCTGGTGCTCTTGAATTTCCGTTATGCGGATAGTCGAATTTCAGGGTTCTCTGCGTCGTCGCGCGGGCAACGATTCACCGGCGTAACCGTGACTCGTCACGGATCCATCCTCGCGGGGCAATCTCCGCGCCGAAGAAGGAAAACGGTTCCTGCGAAACAAGAAGAGCGCTTATTGATCGGTTAGGCGGCGGATGCAACGAGCGCGGCTTATAAATGCCACCGGCCGCGAAAACTATAACCGATGCCAATTATTCACTCTCCTTTTGACGCGGCGTCGTTATGGAAATTCTGCGCGGACCGCTCCTCGGCGGAGCGAGTCGTCGAATGAAACGGATCCAGCGATGACAAACCATTTTACATTTTCCTTGAACGACGGGAGGGGTCGGTCAACCCTTTGTGCACGGACGTCGTCCTATTGATGACGTCAGGCCTTTAGGCTTGGAAGCTGTAAACAAATATGTGTTTTTATGGTACCTCCGGTGACAAAGAATGATATATCATTGTTTAGACGTTCCGTTTTTTTAAGACAAAATCTGCTATTCAAGGTAAATCGGGTATTTTTAGGTCTCTTCAACTTTGTTCGCTAAAATGTTTGACACTAAAACTATCGTACCAGTTAAAGTGATTATCATTTGTTTCGATTATTGATATCTTAAAAGCATTCAATGTTTCAAATGATCCTGAAGATAAATTGAATTAGGAATCACGAATCATTTACCTACTAGTGTCAATACCGTAATTGTTTAACCTTGCTCTGTTTTGTTACACATCTGATACGAACGACGTTTCCATTTTTCCAACGCCAATTCCTTTGTTTCACCTTGCCAGAGTATTCCTATTCCCACTTCGTCAAGGGTGTGTCTCGGTTTCAGAACAGCGGGAGAAAATTGTAATTAAATTATACACTATCTTTTCAGTAATCTGCAAAATGAGAAAAACCGAGGACAACCTCAGGGTTAAATAACCGGAGATCGATACGCAGCTTTCTTCCTTTAGAAATTTGTATAAAAATCTGTTACGTAACTCACCTTTCCACGGGAGAAAGGTTCGAATATATTCGAAAATCATCGTTCGAAAATGAACTGTTCACTCGACCCTGAAGACACTCGCACTTTCCACGCGTGTATGTTTTTTTCAAAATTTTTCCCCCCTTTTTTCTAATTATCTTTTATTCTGGAAATGCGGGCATTTTTGTGCGGCGCTACGGGTTGAATGCGATTCGTTGGAAGATACAGTTCCGCGGACAAATTCAAGGGGAATAACCCTGTACCACCCTATACAGGCAGAATGTATAATCTCGGGGTCATTGCCCGAACGATCTTTGGGGGTTCCACCATGCCTGGAACGAGGGTGAGGTGCCTCGGAATACTGGGCTGATATCGACCACTTTCCCCAAAAGCTAAAACGCAAAGATAAAATTAAGCAGCCCTCGTTCGATTTTCTCTCGGTGTGTGCCCATCATTTTTTCAGGGACCCACGGAAACGCATTTGACAATGTCATTGCTTCCGAGGAATTGTCCAGACGGAGTTCCTCCCCTCCGTGTAATCCCCTAACTCATTATTCACCGGTTAAGTCCCACTCCGAGACTTACCTATTCCAACATAGAATTTAACCAAAAACTCCGAACCCTCGCTCACGAAAGCTTCCCATTAGAAATACCCAATATTCTCTAACGACGTTTAAATAACACATTGTTCAACCGTTCGAGACGAATCACGGAAACCAAAGAACAAAACTAAAGTTGAATATTAAACCTTAAACATTAAACTTGATAATTCTACACCGACTCACCGAGAGTCTCGACAAAAGTGTTACCTCAGATATTTCTCCAATACTCGAGATCGTTGATAATCAGCTAACCTAACCTTACAAAAGTTTCCCTAATTCGTCACATGGGTAGCCCGAGCGATCAAGGCAGGGCGTTGTCACGGTAATTTCCCGATTTCACGTCGGCCTGTCCCAACCTCCTTCGATTAAAGCCATTTCTTTCATTCCTCATTGTCCTCCCGAGAAAGAGAGAAAAAGGAGAGAAATATACATATACACGGGGCTCGGTACGTCAACAAATCCTCTGATCGGGAGATTAATCGATGCAGCGAGCCCGTCGTCCATCGGTTCCGTCTGCAGTCGAAGGAGACGAGAGGACGAGACGTAAGGACAAGGTTCGATCCTTCGGTGCGGGCACGGAAGGAGGTGGAGGACGAGGATTCGAGGAGTGTCTTCTGGATAGAGGAGGGAGAGAGCAGAGGGATAAGGGTTGTTCGACGGATGGCCATGCCTTTTGGGGCAGTGGCCCTTGCCGCGATGCTTCCGAGGGTGAGAAGGGGCAGACGAGGACCTACGCGTTATTGAGCGGGCATTTCCCACAAAGCGCAGACGAGGGCAACCACCCCGTAGCGCTGCGGCGCGCAGAGTTCTCTACACTCTCCTTCCTCTCCCTCTCTCACCCTCTTCGCCGTTTCTCCCTTTTCCGCGCTTCGCTTCTGCCTCGCTCTCTCTCTCCCTCTTCCTCCATCCCCCTCGCGCCACGCTCGGTCCCTCTTTCTCCCTCTCCCTCTCCCTCCATCCGTCCCCCCGCGTCTCGCTCCGCGCTTTTATCTTTTTCTGTCGCCTTCTTTTCCCGCTTCCCTCTTTCTCGCAGTCTCCTCATCCTTTCTGCATCCCTTTCCAGGCACACACGCACGCAGACGTGCACGCGTTGCACGCGCTATCCTCTGCGAGCACTCGGACACTCGCGGCTCCTCGGAGACTAATGTATGCACGGCTGCAACGGTATTAGTCGCGGACGTTTAATCGGAGATTTACTTGTCGAACTTTGCGCACGATTCTTTGCTGTCCGGCGTTTCGCAGGGAGCACTGGAAACAGGTTAACGCACGGTTTATGGAATAGTTTAGTTGTCTCTGAATGCCGAGCTAAGATTTATATGAACGAGCATCGATTCTTATAGGAACGACAGAAGAAATTGTAGAATATGTCTTCGAACCTCGATCGCAGCGTGCCTTCCCGAAGTCGGAGAAATCTGTCGCACCGCGACAGCTAATGCAATTATCGTTTACATGATAAACAGCCGGAACGTTGAGAATTCGAGATGCGGATAGACGAAAAATCGATCGCCTCAGACGTCCCGTGCGAGCGCAGCCCCGTTGACCGGTTAACTGTGGACTTTGAAAAATCTGTACAATGAGATCAACCTGTGACGAGTGTACGCGTCGAGGGGGAACGCGTATAGAAACTAAAGCTAGACGGAACACGGTATATTTGAAAACAAGAAAACTTCGTATCATTTCGAGTTTTGAGATTTCAAATCAACTTTATGCAACGTTCAATTTCAACCAAGAAAAATCTAGGAGCTTGACGTTGCAGGGCCATATAACTTTCTCCACCCCTTTCTTTCCTTGTTCCAACTCTGCCCAGTTTTCTAATTAATCGGAGCTTCTCTGCGATTCGCGAAACGAATGTCACGGTAGAAAGTGTTCGCACGGGGACAATTGAGACTAAATCGTGCGGCGAACTAGAGCATCCGGTTCCAGTTTCGATCGTGGCCCGCACGGCTCGGTCCCTTCGGCTCGTTTCGATCCGTGACAATTCGTTTCCCGGAATAATCCGCGCGCGGAGAAATTCTTTTTCGGCCGGCGAGTACGAATACCCGCTCGGATCTTTTGTTTCCGCGTGCCTGTCTGTGCGCATGTTCCTCGCCGCTGCTTTGTCCGCGCGAGCCCTTCCACTTTCCGCGAATTCCTCGAGGAGAATTGTTCGAACGAGGATTCAGCCTGCGCAATATGGAAAGATTTAGACCACGATTTCGCGTGGCGTACATTCTCTTTCCATTTCTCTTTTTTTCCCGCTTAGTGCCAGCCAGTTCTTAATATGTAGCGCTGCCAGGACGACTTCTTCTCTTTGTTGGAGTTTGATTGAACCCAAATTTCTTTGCATTCATGGGAATGTCTTTGGAACTGTCCGCATGTCTGTTTCTGGAAAAATATATTTATTAATAGTTGAAATTTGAAACTTGAAATTCATCATCATAATATGTTTTATCTTGAGTACACTGTATGGAGAAAATAAGATATCTTCATTCAGCAGTGAACGTGTGGATCGTTACCGGTTTTAGCTACCCCTTCTTGCTCGTCGAGAAAATATTCTTACGTGTCGCTTCTGGAAAGTATTTTTCAAACCGGCGGAAATCAATGAGTACTAACCCCATGAAAACATAAGGGAGACATGGATGTATCGATCTCACCCCTAGGGACTTAGCGGGATTAGGACATCACGGTAGCCACCCACGACGAGGCATGAAGCACCATGCAGTAGCGGAAGAAGAAGCTTGTAGCCCTTAGCAACGTGTTGCCATCGACAGTCTATATCTAGGGCCGTGTAATGTATTTTATCGTATTCTCAGATAAGATAATCCTCCAACTTGTCCTAACCTACAAAACAAGAAGGGTCATTTAACATCATATCAATTCTATTGTCGATGAAAAATTGATGATAATAAAGCGTCGTAACTCGATAATGTCAAATGCAAAACTCTATCGATCTGAAATTTGCAATTGATTTTATTCATTCGAGTTTCGAGAACGAGATGTGAACTAAAAAAGTATGACGATCCGTCGTGTTACATAACCTACCTAAATATTACATAAACCGTGGGTTTCGGGTTATGTAACTTTTTTAAAAAGTGCCTTTAAAACGCCTGTCCGCGATTGTGGTTGGCCGTTTCAGTTCTATTTTCGTCTGCCACGCCAAATGAAATTTTTTTGCAGATTCGTGGATCGTATCGATTCGCGGAGGAAAGAGAGGAAAAAAAAGAGAGGCATGCTACTTGTTCCTGTGGTACCAATCATCCAATGACGCAATGTACCACCCTCAACCTGCACCCTCTGCGTCACACCCATCCTGCTTCCTTATGCTACGCGCCCTCAACCTATATCAGCCTCCTAGGTCGTTGATCCGTGAGTCTTACTGCAGGGTGATCCATGAGACATTTCGTTTCGCGTTGGGTCATTCCTTTATATTCAATAAAAAAACGAGATGTCCTGATTCCTCTCTATGTACTTGTAAAAATAAAAAGAAATGTCTGTCAACATGTGATCGTTAGTGCTTGTAACACTAAAATCGTACCACCTGAAATGTGGAACTTACGAGTAACTTTGTCTGATTTGCAATTATATAATGAACTGTAACGAGTATGTAAACATTTTGTAACGCCTTTAAATTTTCCGACGATCCTTTATTTTTATAGATCACGTTAGAGAATGTATTATTGTTGTCTGTACATTTTGGAAAAATATTTATTATTTTATGAGAGGTCAATTCTTTCGAGTTCTCGATGAATTGAGATCTAACGATGCATGTTCAGTTTGTCGAATGCGCGCGAAGCGAAGATGGAAGAGAGCGTGACAGAAGTAAAACCAGACGAATCAATTGAAAAGAGACCTCAATTTGGGAACAGAACTATCTCTGACGATGACAATGTATTTCAACACAATGCATGGTAGAGATCTTTCGTTGTTTGATATGTTGTTAATAAATTGGTTACGCAGATTTATGAATTTTAACCTATAAATTAGTTTTGAAAATTATTTATGTGCTTGATTTAAAGGGACAATGTTATATGGGACAAGGAACAGGAGAACTTGGCTCAACAAAAAATCAATGAGAATTCAGTAGTGACCCTATCCGATGAAAAGATATCGGAATTTGAGCAAGAAGCTGATAAATATTGGGACAAATTTTATGGGATTCATGACAATAAGTATGCTGATAAATTATATATGCAACTTATATTACTTACTGTCATAAATATTCGTTTTCTGTAGTTTCAATTGTATTTTCAGATTTTTCAAAGACAGGCATTGGTTGTTTACTGAATTTCCAGAGCTGGCTGCAAATACTGTCAAACAGGATTTTAAGCAACCCTTGAGGTGTGCAACACCGGATGAAGATAAAGATAACACGGAATCATATATAAGAATTCTTGATCTTCCTACTTCTAGTGCAAATAAAATTTTGGAAATTGGTTGTGGGGTAGGGAACACTGTGTTTCCGATACTTTTGTATAATACAGACCCAAACTTATTTGTATATTGTTGTGACTTTTCTACAAAAGCAATAGACATATTGAAACAAAATGCTGCGTACAATACATCCAGGTGTAAAGCATTTGTCTTGGATGTAACACAAGACAAATGGGAAACTCCTTTTGATCCTGAAAGCTTAGATATTATCATATTAATATTTGTTCTCTCTGCGATACATCCTGATAAGTATGTATCTTTCTTCAGTTAGATTCTTATAATAGTGTCAATGAAAGTAGGGAGTCAAATTATGGATTATTGCATTTCATGTACAGAATGAAGCATGTCATACAACAAGTATACAAATATTTGAAACCAGGTGGGCTAGTCTTGTTCAGAGATTATGGAAGGTATGATTTAGCACAACTGAGATTTAAAAAGGGCAGGTGTCTTGCAGAGAACTTTTATGCTCGAGGTGATGGAACCAGAGTGTATTTTTTTACACAAGGTATTATATTTAAGTAGTTACATTAATATTATTGAATCTACTTAATTTTAAATATTGAACATCTTATTTGTAGAAGAAGTCAGAACTTTGTTCACAAGCTGTTCATTCAGGGAAGAGCAAAACCTGGTAGACAAGAGATTACAAATTAACAGGGGAAAACAGCTTAAAATGTACAGAGTATGGATTCAGGGGAAATACAGAAAATAAAAAATATACCCTTTAGTGTACACATGTGTAATATATTTTCCTGTATCATAAGAGCTGTAATTATGAAAAAATGATTTATTTCATTATAAGCGGTAAATCCGTAATTTTATGTTTTTAATATACATTTTTTACTACATCACTTGTTAAATGATCTAACGTTCGGATTACTATATTTTGTAAATGTTACTAGCGAATAAAATATATAATTATATAGGAGTATTTTAAAGAAATTAATCTACTTAAAATGATTCGTACGTATGCTCGCAGTAATAAAGTTGCCTGAATAGAATAAGTTCTGATTGGTAACACTGCTCTGCTATTCAGCATGTAAACATGGCGGTGACCGTGATCGTTCTTGTTTAATGTGAAACAAGTGATTTTTGTAATACAATATTGAAATAATTAACTATAAGTTGCTGAATTACACTTCAATATGGGAAATGCTGACACAAAGTTAAACTTTCGTAAAGCAGTCGTTCAATTGACATCGAAAACGCAGGTACATATTGTTGTTTATTATCGTAATTTGAAAGCATATGATGCGTTTGACGTTTCAGCGTATTCAAGTATATACAAACGTTGGTTGTAATGTAGATTACTTCGTTTACATTAATTATTAATTAAATATCCGTGTTACAAATAGAATCGAAATTACGTATTTCACAATGTCACTGTATTCTGATAAATATGGTTTAGGTTAAACAAAATATTACCTCTTTTTCCAATTGTAGGTGATCGATGCTGCAGATGATACGTTCTGGGATCAATTTTGGTCTGAAAATGTAACCAATGTTCAAGATATATTTACCTTAATTCCTGCACCTGAAATTCGTATATTAAGAGAAGAAGCACCATGCAATTTAGCTACATTATGTTACAAAGCGGTTGAGAAATTAGTAAAAGCTGTTGACAACAGTTGTAGAACACAGAGAGAACAGCAAACCGTTTTAAATTGTTGCCGCTTATTAACAAGATTATTGCCATACATTTTTGAGGATCCCGATTGGAAAGGATTCTTTTGGTCTAGCTTGCCTGGTAAAGAAGATGAAGAGAGCGTTCCATTGGCACATTCATTACTTAATGCGCTTTGTGTAAGATCATTTATTTATGAAATTAGTACAAAACATATATTTTCTACATTAGGAGTACCTCTTATACTGTTTTGCTATTTCAGGATTTGTTGTTTTGTCCTGACTTCACAGTAGCTACAAATAGAAAGTCTGGACCTGTAAGTATAAACTATCCTGTACTCAAAAGACAACATAATTTCAAAACATTTCGTTTCTCATAGGATAAAGCAGAGGAACTGCAATCTATAGATAGTTGTGAATATATTTGGGAAGCTGGTGTTGGGTTTGCCCATTCACCTCCAAGATATCCAATTTTGGACTCGAATAGAACAGAGTTATTGAAATTGTTACTGACATGCTTCAGTGAAACCATGTACAATCCTCCCATGGATCTATCTATTACACCCAATAGATGGATTCAGCATTTAACTAGTACTGAAAATAGGTAATTTACAACAATCTTTACTATAGGTTCATTGTATAATTTAATTTTCATTTAAATAAATTTTTATATTGATTCTAGGCATGCTTTACCTATGTTCACATCACTGCTGAACACAGTGTGTGCCTATGATCCTGTTGGACTTGGAGTACCGTACAATCATTTATTATTTACTGACTCTTTGGAACCTCTTGTGGACGTTGCATTACAAATTCTTATAGTAACATTAGACCATGACACTAGCGGTGGTGCTCCATTAGAAGAAGGAACCTTGGGAGATAATTTATTTATTAATTATTTAAGTCGTATTCATAGAGATGAAGGTAGCGCTTCTTTACGCATATTAATTAAACGTTTATAATAGTAGATAAAAATTACTATTTTCGTAGATTTTCAGTTCGTACTGAAAGGTATTACGAGATTACTGAATAATCCGTTGATGCAAACATACCTACCAAACTCAACCAAAAAAGTACACTTTCATCAAGAATTATTGGTATTTTTTTGGAAGATGTGTGATTATAATAAGAAATTTTTATATTATGTATTGAAAAGCTCGGACGTCCTTGAAGTATTGGTACCTATATTGTACCATTTAAATGATTCGCGTGCGGATCAGTGTAGGTATTCGTGTTTCTAAAAGTTACAAAAACGATTATACATTAATGCATACCAACTGAAACAATGTTGCAGCTCGAGTTGGATTAATGCACATTGGTGTGTTTATTTTACTTCTGCTGAGCGGAGAGCGCAACTTCGGTGTCAGATTAAATAAGCCGTACACCGCCACAGTACCGATGGACATTCCAGTTTTTACAGGTTGTACAATATTACGTTAGTTCTTTGAAACGCAACATTGAGTTGTACAATGTTTACAGGTACACACGCTGACTTGCTGGTTACCGTTTTTTATAAGATAATCACAACTGGCCATCAAAGATTGCAGCCCTTATTTGACTGTTTACTAACAATTCTAGTCAATGTTTCCCCATACCTTAAGACACTGTCGATGGTAGCTAGCACGAAATTACTGCATTTACTCGAAGCATTTAGTACACCATGGTTTTTATTCTCAGCGCCTACTAATCATCATTTAGTATTCTTTCTCCTTGAAATTTTTAATAATATAATCCAGGTGAGTCGTGCATTCTTTTAACGAAATAAATCTTGCTTGAGTCAGTGTAATAAAGATTTTCTGTTATCAGTACCAATTCGATGGCAACAGTAATTTGGTATACACAATAATACGGAAGAGACAAGTGTTTCATGCATTAGCAAATTTACCGAGCGATTGTAACACAATTGCAAAATCTCTCAGCAAGAGACAACGTCGACACGTGCCAGCCAGTACATCTAGTGAAAATGTGAATGAAGCAGCAATGGAAGGATCTCATCCTGCTCAGCCTGCAGAGCCTGGAACATTGAAAGCATCTTTGTTGGAAACTCCAGGCAAATTTCACTTACTCTATTACATCGATTAATTTCCTTAGAATGCTGATTAACGATATAATTTCTGATAGGCATTGAGAAAATGACGGAGAAAGAGTCTGCGCATCCGCTAAGTCCATCGGTGAGCGTCGAAGTAGCAAAACCTAATCATCAGAGTAATGCAGATAGTTCAGAGGATTTAACGGCTACTGTCAAAACTTCTGTTATACCAGTAAAAAAATTAATTATCTTAATATTTCTTCTTGTATATAAAGTAATTCATTCGTATCTTGTTTCATTGATTCAACAGAAAGGAGGCATTAGAGTTTCAGAACACACAAATGCGTCTAACAGTATAAACCAGTGGGTCCCTTCCAGCGAATGGGTGTACCAGTGGAAAAGTAAACTTCCGTTGCAAACTATTATGAGACTACTTCAAGTTCTTGTACCTCAAGTTGAAAAAATATGTATCGACAAGTAAGAAAAAATGTTTGCCTTTCAATATTTCTTTGGAGTGATGTTACTCTAATGATTTTTATGCTTTTCAATTTTCAGAGGCCTAACGGATGAAAGTGAGATTTTGAAATTTCTACAACACGGCACTTTAGTTGGATTGTTACCAGTACCACACCCCATCCTCATTAGACGATACCAACCAAACGCAGGCACAACTGCTTGGTTCAGAACGTACATGTGGGGCGTTATATACTTGCGAAACGTTGAGCCACCGATTTGGTATGATACTGACGTAAAGTTGTTTGAAATTCAGAGAGTCTAAACGCGGCGTATACTAGTGAGCAAATCATGATTAGCTTTAGCACTGGAATTTCTATACTACTCAGTCATAATATATTGTACCTACGAAAAACTACATCTTATTAATAGCCATTACAAGTTGCACCAAGTAATAACAAAATTTACTATTTTTGTTAATAATGTAACAAATTTTTACAATCGTAGCCTTTTTTATGATTCTATTACACAGAGTTACAGAACTAATTTTACGGAGATCGTTCGTTAAGAAATAATAATAATAATAAATAATAAAGTAGTTTCGACATTCCGAATTGTCACTGATCGATGCATGGATATTTGCAACTATGCCAGTGCCTTTACAGACGTATAATCGATTGTTTGTTCAATCAAATATAAAAGAATTATTTATTGAATGATTAATCATTATTTCAAACTAGCTGTTTATATTTTGTCAATTCTGATAGTTTAATAAGTATTGCTTTAACGATCCGTTAATGTTTTCCTAATCATATTTATTAAGAATGTATAAGCTTGTAAAATACTAGTTTTGTATATCTGTGTAGTAGCAACCAAGTTTTAAGACGTAATTCTAAATTGATGAATCGTGCAATTTGGAGTAATTCTTCCCTTTCAGTGATATAAGGATCATTGTAAACTCTAAGTCATTGAAAAAAAAATCTCCGAAAAAAAGACTTCTCTTTGCTACATAGAAGATAGTTCTATTACTATTTTACCAAATCTCGGTAAAAGATTCAGAATTATTCATTTCTTTAAGTACAAAAGAATGAGAGGAATCTATACATATATTGTAAATGCACCAATAATTTTAAAAAAATGTTAATCTTACACCACATTTCAAACTAAAGAGATAAAAGATAATATTTCCATTTACATTACTTTATAGTATGTAATGTGTTTGTTGTCAGCGTAATGCTAATCTCATTTTATTAAAATTTTTTCATACATTTATACGTACCATATCTGTAACTTCAAGATATCCAAACTTTGTATCATTTTAAGACGAAATGGAATTAAGTGATAAAATTTTAAACATACAAAAAAAATTATGTTTATTACATAAACATCTCATTTGCAACAAACTGTTATTCTTGATACCCGCATTCGTACAGACGATTAACGAAATGCAATGACAAACAGTTTGCGTTGTGCACTTTTGTACAATAATTTTATTTACGTATTGGTGCAGTTACTCTATTTTTTATGCATGTTAATAAAGATGCGTGTTTTTTAAAATATGTAAATCTCGTAATGAAACGATATTTAAGCATGTTATGTATACAAAACTGAGCACTTACATTTAATTGTCACGCGATAGCGTAGCATAGAAATTTGTATCACGTTTGGTACTCTAAAGGAAAATAACAAAGGGAAAACGAGTCGATACTTTTCTTATTTCAGGCTATATTTCGAAGTGCAAATGTATAGCTTGGAATTCGTTGTTAATTAGAAATATGAGGATATTCTATACGATGAGATATATTATATAAATTTGTTTTAAAAAACAAAAAGCAAAGTTACTATGTAAACTAATGATTTATGTGTGCATATAAACTTTTGGCGTTGTCAAAAGAAATTGAATACAATAATATGTATTAGTTGGGTTTCGTGTCATGGTCGAAAGATTTCAGAGACTGGCAAAGATGTATGTGTGCTTGTGGCGCGCGGTATGTATGTACACTCATACAATGTATATGTGTATGATTAAATAGTATAAAACACGACTAATACTTAGCTTATACTTTTATTAATTATTACACCATAAAAGTTATTATTTCATCCACATTATAGCACTGAATACTTTTACACTTTATGGAAAAAGTGAGCAGTTTATATATCAACACAACTGTATCATTAGTTTAAATCACTCCTTATTTCGCGAAATAATACTTTTCTCCTTCGTACGAACAATCGTATTAGTTTAATATAATTTACAATTACATACTTTGTTTCTTTTTGTGCAAAAGGAGTTCTTACACT